ATTCAAAAGCGCGAAAGCTTTCCAAGAACCGTGGACGAGCTCAAAGCTGCCTTAAAGGAGGAGTGGTCGAAATTTGACGTCGATATTCTTAGGGAGGTTATTGACTCAATGCCAAGAATTAACGCGGTATTGGAGGCAAAAGGAGGGTCAACAAAAATATTAATTAAATATGAAATGTATAATATGAAAAAATAAAATAAATCGAAATTATTATTTTAAGTTTTATGATAATTGAAAATCGGGCGTTACTTTTTGTGGCGACTGTACATGTATTGTCATCATCTATAATAAAATTCGGCTTATGCGTGCCGATCGGCTTTTATTTTTTTATGCTTTTCAGCCCACAGATGATTAAATAGTAACCAGAGTTCTGCTGGATTTACAGAATAACAGTATGGTACGGAGGGGTAAAATGATAAAGTATAACTTGTCCTGTTGGTAAGAACATTGTTTCCATAAAACTATTTAGTAGTGTCTTTTTTTAGTGTTTCATTATCAATTTGTCGCGCTTCTTGTAAAATGCTTTGATATCCTAATGACATACTAATATTGAAAACTATTTGGACCATCAGAGAAATAAATGCAATTCTACCTTCGTAAAGACTGTTAGTTTTGGATTTAACATCAATATCAATAACAAATTCAGTAGTCACATTGTCACGCAATACTCAAGGAAAATAATAACTTACAATAAAGGTGAGTTTATAAGCTTATTTATTTGATTAGAGCATATTTCTTGACAGTACTAAACTTTTCTACTTATACAAGTTCAGGACTATTCTAATCTATGTGAACTTTATTAGACAGGCACTATGGTAGACGTCAAGTTCGATATTAAATAAATATTATATGATGCGAAGTTAAAATATAAACATTATTTCTGCGAAGTATGTGAAACTAAAAATAAATTTTAAATACATGCAGTATTAGATTATGTGGGGATAATGATTGTTTAAACAAATTTTTCGATTTTTAAGATCAAAACTAGTGTCACAAATTATGGATTTCAGCATAACTATGGTGACAGCATATGCATACTGCATGGGCAACCGTCAGGCAGATTCACAAATATCGAGATACTTGTATGTAGGATCTATGACTAGACGTGAATAACGAATAAGTCACACTTATTGGACGAGATTAAACGTGTGCGTATAAAAATATCTGTCTACGAATGAAAAGTTTAAGTAGAGAGTAATAAATGAAAATTAATAACTTTTCATGATGAAACTAAAAATATACACAAAAGATATATATAATAAAGTAATGATTAAACTAATAATAAATATATGCGCATAAACACAAACCACTTTTGATATCGTTTTGCGTGAAACCAGTTAACGTTAATAAATCTAAGTTTTTCTTGCAAGTTACTTGGCATATCCTCATCCTCTTTGTCGAGATCTGTTTTTATCAACAAAGGAATTGAAATAATATCATCATTTGGAACATACAAACTAACACTTGTAAAACATAAATGTTTGATACATTTAAATCAACCTGAGATGGCATTTTTTGATCGAATATAAAAATAAATGCACGAACCTATTTCGAAATAAAGAATTCGACTGATGTAAATTGTATTTAAGTGGATTTGCTGTTTTTCGTTTATATGTATTCGTAGAAATCCATAATTCGTCCTATCTCACATTCTAAATAGGAAGCAATATATAATATCAAAATGTATAACAAACACTGAAATTTGGCTCGAATTTGCTTTATTTTTGCTCAATTTTGAAAATTTATTATAAGAAAATGCTTTTTCAAATTCTGTAAATCTCTTGAGTTTATCTTTTTATATATTGCTCAAGATCCTTCTGGATGTTTTGCTAAAAAAAACCCAGGAAATGGCCAATGATCTATTTAAATATCATCTTTATTTTTTTTGAATTCAATTCGCATAAACTTTCTGAATAAATATATATATGTTTCAAACATTTTTACTTGAAAATCAAGACATAAAAAAACTTTGTACATTTCTTGTTTTTGTAATCACGAGCCGACGATCAAGCACACTTAAAGATCCCAGATTCAAGTTTTTTCCAGGTGATAGCTGTTGCGTAAAATCCCGGCTTATCGAGATTCAATGTTCTTGCATTTAACTAAATGGTTTCCAAACTCTTCATTTTATTTACATGTATAAAAGTAGATAATGAAATATTTCAAACTAATTTACTATTCTATGTGATTTGTGTTATCTTTTTTGATTTATGAAATAGAATATATTTACACGACATCAATATAATTCGTCCAGAATTACAAAAGAATTGAAGTACATGACAGATTACAACTAAATCGGGTCCAAATGTTCGAGGAAAATTTTGAGCACCTAACAAAAGAATATGATAAATAGTAAAGATAGAAAAAAAGAAATCGACTATAAATAAGAAACCAATAATAAATATAATATAATGATTGCTTCTACGTACTTCCTTCTTCTTTCGTTTCTGTTCTCGATCTGTTGGTTTCGCCCATTTAATGCTATTCGGATCGGGAATCGGAAGAAATGCCTTCCAATCAAGCTTTGCTAGTTCTTGAAGAAAATCTTCCGATTCTTTGGTTGGTGGTTGTTTCGGCGGAGATAACGCTGATTGGTCGTCGTCAAGGTTCACGAGAACAGAATTTTCTTTGACAAACTTGTTCTTGTAGAAGATGTAGGACGCGACAGTTTCGGATTCTGGACCTTGAATGGTAGCTCGTAATGGGCTTTTAATCTGTGGTTGTTTAGTTGAAAATGTTTACTTAATAACGATGCGAAAATACTCGTATTATCGAGGATATAGGTTGAGTCTCCTTACTTCTGGTGGCTTTTTTTGACGCGGTATAGTGATGGGCTTAAGTGGTGAAGTACTGAGCTCCGGCGGTATGTCAAATGAATCAATCAAATTCGGTGACATTGGCGACTATATTAAAATAGTAAATTAGAATTGGTCAAATTGATTTCTATACAACTTCTGAATAATATTTACCTGAGGTTCTTTAGTACTAGAATTCGATCTTATTGACTCTTCGTCACTCGAATCTGATTCAATTAATGGCTGATCGAAATTTGGCCAATCATCTTCTTTCTTAAACTCGGTTTCCCAACCAAAAGCAGATTTTTCTCTCTGTAAGAAATTTACGACTTAATAAACACATCATCATTGAGGATACTGAAGTAATTAGATATTAACCTTATTAGTATTTTTTTGCTCTTTCTTTGTATCATCAAAGATAAGCTCTTCGTCAATAAGAGATTTGAACAGTTCTGTTGAACCGATCTTGGAAGTACTTTTTTGAACTTTCTCATCTTCTTGTTTCGGTGAAAGCTGAATAGGTACCGCTGAAGATAAATCCTTTGCATTAAGGAGAAGCTCCTCGTCAATAAGGGGTTTGAAAGATTCTGTTGAACTAGTTTTTGCAGTATTTTCTTGAACCTTCTCATCTTCTTGTTTTGATGAAGGTGGGATAGGTACCGCTGTAGATAAATCCTCTGCATTAAGGAGAAGCTCCTCGTCAATAAGGGGTTTGAAAGATTCTGTTGAACTAGTTTTTGCAGTATTTTCTTCATCTTTTGGTTTCGATAAAGGTTGAATAGGTACTGCTGTAGAAGAACCTTTTGCATTACGGCTGGATTCCTGTTGAATTTCGAAATTAATAATTATAAATTAAAAGGTTAAGATGTAAATTTTCCTTTTTTGATTCTACCTCATCCGATTTTACAGAGGATTTCAGCGAATCGGACTTTAAGTGATCTGGATTTTCTTTCGATTCGATCTTAGTGCCTTTTGAGAATTGAGGAATTGCCTTTGTTGGATCTGCAACTCCAACATTAGATTCTTTGTTAATGTCAGATGCACCTGAATTTTCATCGATGTGTGTGTCTATAAACGAAGCGATACCAATTTTTGAATCCGCAATTTCGATTTCGTTTCCTCGAATTTGAGTTTCTTCGGTATTGGTTTCGATTTTCGTAATATCTTGCTGAGATTGGCACGATTCATTCGATTCGAATACGTTATCCATGGATTTCGTTTTTGATGGAACATCTTTGCGAGAGGCAGATTTGATCAAATGATCAGAACTTTTTTCATTATCTTTCCAAGCACTTATTACGTTATCGTCGATCGGCGACGAGACGAACAAATTATCCAGAATTGGGTTAGGAAAGGGCAAAATATGATCGCTTTCTTCAGGTTCGTCGGTCAGAGTCCGGCCAGTTTGTTTAGGCTGCACGGAGGTATTCCCATTCTTTTGCGATTTTTTGGCTGCTACTGAATTGTCATTTTCGTTTTTTGGCCTGGAGGAGTTCCAGTTGCTGCTATGTTTCTGCTGTACAGAAGCGTTCCAATTCGATTTTGCCGAATCACAATTATCGTTACCATACTGTGGCTCGGTAGAGGAGTCCCAATTGCTATTCTTTTCAGGCTTTACAGGCGCGTTCCAATTTTTTTGTGACCCTACCGAATCCCAACTGTCGTTACTGTATTGTGATTTGACGGAAGAGTTCCAATTGCTATACTTTTCCGACTGAGTGGTTGTACTCCAATCATTTTGTGAACCTACCGAATCCCAACTGTCGTTACCGTATTGTGCTTTAACGGACGAGCCCCAATTGCCATTCTTTTCGGGCCGTACAGGCGCGTTCCAATTTTTTTGTGGCTCTACCGAATCCCAACTGTCGTTACTATATTGTGGCTCGGTGGAGGAGTCCCAACCGCTATTCTTTTCAGGATGTACAGGCGCGTTCCAATTTTTTTTTGACCCTACTGAATTCCAACTGTCGCTACCGTATTCATGTTTGGACTGTATAATCGGACGTGTATTGTATGACTGTAATTCATTATTTTGACTTTGCGATCGCTTAGCTACCGAATTGTCGTATTGTGGCTTAAAGGAAGTCTTTGAACTCAAATTTTTTTCCCTTGGATCGTCGTAGTCGTAGGTTGGAATTTTTTGCTGCGTGTCAAGAGGCGAATCCCAAGTATTCCGTCGTGATGAGGGATTCCAGTTGTTTTGCTGTGGAATACGAGAGGATGAAGGGCCCCAAGTTGCTTTTCTTTTTTGTTCCAAATTCCATTTGTTCGATTCATATATTTCATGAGATTTTTTTTCCCTTGAAGCCTCAGAAACTTTGTTGAGCGCGACCGCATTGGAATATCTCCAATCAGCAATTTGACTTGGCACTTCTTGGCCAATGACCTCTTTTACAAGTACGCCTCGTCGAGGTCTCCGGGATTTTGTAGGTTGCTTATTTTCTGGTTCCTCGAGTTCGGTCTGAATTGATGATTTTTAATAAAGTCTTTCATAAATATAAACAAAACGAAATACGTAATTACATTATGTGGATGTTTTTACTGTTAGAATTACCTCTCCCGGATTGTTTGGCAGACCTAAGGCTAAAGCATTCCATGAACGGTAGACTGGCGCTTGATATTTCTTTCCTCTATCCATTGTTTGTAGTCACGATATTCGTGTATATGGTCTAAAGTGTTACACCGTATTCAAAAAGAATTTCCAAAATAAGCAACAAGAAATATTTTATTGTTAAACAGAGAACAGAAAATTTCAGTATTTATTTATAATAGTTTGCAAAGGGGGAGGGGTTTGTGCATAAGAGAGTGGGGAAGAAAAAGAAAAAGAATAATAATAATAATATGTATATCAAATATTTATTATCAGATTTATTATTGCGTTTGTTTAAAACTTGATGGGTTTTTTAGTCATCATACTTTTTCCATTCAAAAGAAATATTATTGTAAGAATGGTGCTCACGTGAAGTTTGTCTTTTGAAAAAAATAAAATAACGATAATAATATGTGTGGGCAGTTTTTAAGTGCTTGTTATAAATTGACGTTAGTTCGTGGACACGTGGTGCTGATTCCATAATAGGAATAGATTAATAGATTCAGGATTTGTACTTTTTTTGTTTTGACTGGGAATTTCTGAACAAGATTTATAACGAGTAGAGTTACACACTATGATGGTTTTGGCAAGAATTAGACATATAATCTTCCCACTATAATGAAAATCACGATAGAATACATGCTCACTAGCCGGAAAAGCAACAAACGCAGATCACACAGCCCCGTTGATAATCTATAATTGATCGTTGACCAACCATATTTCTACAAAAAACTACGGCCTTGCTGCTGATTGACTACATTTAAAACTTTGCTTTTGTATCATTATACCAAAACGAGTGGGGGTTTCGAATACCAGTTTTTACATCTGCGATCAAACGACCTTTCACTTGCAGATACCAAATCCTTCCCACGAAATAAATATTCTCTTCTTAACGTGAGAAATGATAAAAAACCATGATCCAGACTTTTAGTTTCTCATTCTGATCTCATTAATCGAATTTGCTAATTACGAAATGTATCGTAATAGAAAGAAAATTCTGGACAAAACTTTCTTTCATATACAGCAAAAATGTAGGATTGATGACGTATATATAACATAAATCGTGAACTCAAAAACGCAAATCATAGTTCCTCCTTGAAATTTATCATATCTTTTGGTCGATTGAAATCCAATGATAACAATGACGACCATGACGAATTTCAATTCAAAATAGAGTCGAAATTCTTTACATCTCTGTCTCATAGCCAAAATAACAATAAATTTCATGCATTAAAGTGTAGTTATTTTAGGTCCAGTTTTCTGTATCTTCTATACTTTGATGAGTAGTTTTTGTGGTTTCAATTGGAGTTTTTCCGGTTCCATTTGTTCAATTTTTAATTTTTTTTTATCAGTTCTTGAAAAAGAAAATTCATTAATTCAATTTCCCCGGGGACGAAAAGACAGAAAGCAATAATATATATATTGTATAGCGTATAAAACATGGGACTTAAAAAAAATTAAAACTTCAGCAATAGAATCTTTTGATCAAGATGAATAATCATTTGTCAAATTCCAGTAAGTTTAATAGAAATTTAGTATTGATATTTCTTTTTAGTGAATATTGAAAATAAAATTTTTCCATAATTAGATAAAAAAATCTGAACTTCAACGAATTCCTCATGATATTATTATAAATAGCATTCGCAAAAAAAGGTAAATACAGATCTGAATTTGTCTGAGATCTCTTGTCACGGAAAGAGTCGTGTGCCATGAATTGTTTTTTCTTTCTCAAATCGAGAAAAATTTCACTGCGAAATTACATTATTGCGGAGAAATCCAGTAACGGTAAACTGACGCTAATCTGGACTTAGTCACAGAAATCAAACTTTATCCTCTTAACAGTCCAAATTCCAAAATGTATTAATACTGGATACTTTTCATTTGTCAAATCCAATCTTTTTATATTTTTCACTCTGATGATTCTGATTTGCACATACAGTGAATTTGGTAATTTTGAATTACAGCGAAATATTGTATTCATCAAAACAGCTTGAGGATTTATTTCTGCATCATTATATATAGAAGTGCTGCAAGAATTTCAGTGTCGGATGTGATAACTTGGGTTTAGACGTATATACATGTACAGGTAATGGTAGCATGCTACCGTTATTTCAAATTTTCGTTTTTAAATTATTTATTGTAATATTAATATTATTTACAACACTTGAGTTTGACGTAATAACGGGAATAGATGAGATCATGACTCCGCGGCTGTGGCAAATGAGGGCGATGTCGATATTTTCAATTTTTTCTGAAAAATTTCCTATTCTTTTGTTTGATTTTCTCCTTCATTTTTATAACTTCCAGATGGTTCTGAATTGCTTCTCTGTTTCCTAGACGTCTTTCCGTTTGTTATTACGTGACACCTTTCAAATAGTGCTCAAATTATTTGTCAACGCTTAATTTGCATAAAATTTACATATATCGATATTCTCCACAGAAACGGGAAAAATTGTTCTATCCGAACTTGGCGATCTCACCAATCAAATTTTTGGAATTCATGTACATGTATGATGATGCAGATTCAGGGATCTATAGAATGTTTTTATGGACATCATGCTTCTATTGTTTTATAACGGTTTTTGGCCATTTGGAAATTTACGGAGAATAAGGGAATACATATGGTTTTACAAAATTCATAATTTTTTGTTAAAAAAATGAGACGAAAAAGTTCCAGCAACAATGATTTATAATCTCATGGTTAGTTTTCCAAAGAAAAGTTTTCAAAGAAATAAACGGCCGGCGAATTTTTGAAATGAACAAAACGCTTTGTGTTAAGACTCTAAAGATGTTTATTTTTAATTAGAACCTGAAAAATTGTCTATATAATGGATAACGCTTACAAAAATTTACAATCAGTTTTTAATGACCTGTAAAAACATGAACGGAGAAGAAATTCAAACTTTAGCTGAACTGCTTCTTAGTTATGTTGTTCAGTTACAGCCTTGTGAAAGTTTCATTAATGATCTTTGTGAAATTTACTTAAAAAAAGGCGAAGATCTGAAAGTACTAGAAAATCGTTTTTTTATATTTAAAAGGTTTATAAGAAAACAATTAAAGAATGGCGGCGACGACATTCCTAGAAATTTAATTATCAGTACGAGGGATCAGACAAAATTCGCAAAAGTAATTTCAATAACATGGAAGAAACTTTCACTTGAGCAGCAAAGTGTTTACCAAGAAATTCGAGAAGAAGTAAAATTGATATATACAACGAATTATCCTAATTGGAAGTCCAATCAAAACAGAAATAAGGCCACTCTTAAAATCAAAAGAGGACGCGAAATTATGTATCGTAAAATTGATCCCTAAATACTCTAATTTACTATTAAATAGTCTTTAAGTTATGCATATATTAATATGTATATTAACTTCATATTTTACTTATGATTTTCGCTTAATTTTTAATATGTTATATAAGATTATTGTAAGTTAGATACCATTTAATTACATAATTAATACGCAATGTGTTACATAATTACATGTATTGTATTTTCCCTTTGCAGTTAAAAAATACAATTTTTCATTCGTATTAATTGAGTGAGATATACATTTTTTGAAAAATAGTCTTTCTATTGATATAAATATATGCTTGCATTCAAGGTACATGTATGACGATAAGAAGTATAGCTAATATTCTAAGGGAAGGAGAGAGCAAAATCTCTGGTCATGTACATGTACATGTATAAATATAATATCACGTGCATATGGTACATGTGACATCTCAGGAATGTAGACCAGTTTTCCACAATTGTGATTTATAAAATATAAAATATTGTTATTATTAATATTTTTATAAATTTCTTTTTCCTTTAGTAAGGAGCGTGTTTCTATGATACTAATGTTTATTATTCCAACGTGTGAATAAGTAATGTTTATCATGCCATATACATGTATACGTAAAATTGCTTTTCCGACATTTTTAATGTCATTTTTCATCATAGAAATCAAAAACGGAATATAATGGTTAAAAAACTATAAAAGGAAAAACATGATAGCAAATATGAATTTTTACTAACTATTTACCGTAGTATACTGTAAAAAGTTTCAGCATTCCGTTCGAATACATCAAATCAAAAAATCTCAATTAAGGATACTTAATAAAATAAAAATATTCTAAATAACAAGTGTATAAAATGGCATCGAATAACCAAGATATAATAATAACGAAGCACATGTATCAAATCACAAAGAATCAACATAACCACCCAAAAAATCAATTATTTCGATTGAATATACATGTGAAAATAAAATGTACGTACCTCTACCAGTTAGTATTTTTGTTAATCTTAAAGCAAAGCTACGATTATTATAAACTGCATTTGAGTGGATTTGTCGTTCTTTGTAGGAATGCTTGTTTTGCGATTTCATCTTATCAAGTTTTTTCCATTGCTGCCTCTCTAGTTTAAGTCACTCTTTGATTCCATCATCTGTTTTAGGATATTCTAAAGAGCTACAGTGCTGAAAATACAGCGTATTCAGAAATTTTTGTTATTTTGTGTTCACCCCGTAAAGAATAATCTCTTTGGCTAAAAGATTAATTCGATTAACGGATTAACGAATTATCATAACGATAAGCGCAACCCACGACTCAACTGGGGAAGCGTCAGTGAAAAGTCTAGGATTTGAAGCGCTCTAATGGTGCGATATTAGTAGACAATGAAAATGGAGAAATGTCAAATGAAATAATAAAATGAACGTGAAAAATGAAAAAGTAAATAATACAGTTTCGTTAATTTTTATATCACGCTTTCATCATCTCTCGAACATCGCATTTCTCTCGTTTTCCGTTTTTCCACGTTATTAATTCCCTCCCCTGACGCTTCCTCATATTCACCGTCTACCTTTATTAATTCGTTCCGGAATTCTCTAATACATGTAATTTTTATCTTTGGCTATCTTGTATTTCTGCGAGGAGAATTTTTCAAAGATGTCCGGTGGTACGACAAAGTATAGACTAATGTTTTTCGTGTCTTTTTCCACACGAGAAAACGGTCTATGTCGTTAAGTCCTTTCAACTATACAACTTAAGTTAATCATAATACAAATGACAGACAAACTATAAATTCATTGTCGAGACCGTCATTTGATATAAGGATAATGTATCGTCGTTAAAGCTAAAAGAATCAATCGATGTAAATGTTTTTTTGATTGTGGTCTGTTATAATACTCTTTACGTGCTTCATTTAGAGTCATGAATTAATTACACTCCAACTTCTCGCCACGTATTTCGGTAACCTCTGGGTTATTATTATTCAGGCATCGTATCCTAAACGTACCACCCCTTTGCAACTCCAAATGGACATGATTTTCGAATAAGTTGCCTCGAAATCCAGCAGTCATTGGGAAATCATGATGTTCACAATTAAATCACGAATGTCTGCCTTAGTTTTAGTTATATATTCATCGACCAACTTTTTAGCTACGATACACTACTTCCGTAAACGTTGAATTCACGTCGAGATGTATGAGTCCATCACTAACAGTATCTTTGGGCATCCCCGCTTTATCGATGGAGTTCATACAGCTCACTAAATCGGCTTCAACAATCTGTTTATCAAGGGTATTGTGTTCCACTTTGCTACTAAGATCTTGAGTAATTCAAATGTGAAAGCTTCGCCTTTTTTATTCTTCCTTTATCATATTGAGCGTTCCAAAGCTCGATGATTTCTTCGTCTGTCCAGATTGTCATGAAATATTGGGTAAAACCTGGCCATTTGAAAGCCTCGATGTATTTTTCTGCCAGAAGGATCTTATAGACTGAACACCATTCCATAATACGTGCGTCAACAATGTAGAAGTTTTCTTTGTTATCCAACGCTTTGTCAAACTGGCTGATATCTCCCCCGTTGCACATACCTTCCGGGAGAATTGATAACATTTATTTTGGTAGATGATTGTAGCCATGATATTATCGAATGTAAAAAAGAATAAACAATCCAAAGTATGTCTTTCCGATACCGGTTTGGCCGGGCCGGGCCCACCTTGTTTGCGAGTAACTGCAAATAACAGTTCCGTAACATCAGCTCGCTTTCGCTTCTGCACCTCATCGGACATGATTTTATATTTTGTTTTGCTTGATGTAGATCCAAAGAATTTTTTTGGTAGGAAATAGTCGTTTATGCAAAACAATCGGATCGAACACTGCATTTAGGTTGGGCGGACTTTCGTGTGATTGGCTGATTTCCTATATAATCTGACCACTTTTCTCGAACCAAATTTCAAATTTCCTAATATGAGTTTTACCCCTGATATAAGCCACAAGCCACAGATTGATTCCTAATTTGGATAAATGATGCGGCATAAACATTTCGTAGCGGTCGACCGGCAATGGGCGATATTGTGAAACGTCGACAACATACATGTAATGTATGAATTATTTTTTTTTTGCTAAAGTGTTTATTGACTTAGAAATTTCAAATTTCATAATCAACACCGATGACAGAAATTTTTTTAGTACAGAGCTGAATGCTTCTTCAAGTTTAGCAGCACACCTGAAGAAAAACTAACAGCAAGAAAATGATTGCGCAACGAACAAAACCAGTGCACGATCGCGAAAGAAAAGAAGTTGGGAACATGACCACGTAATGAAAGAAATATAGGAACACGACCGTGTAGCAAAAGACAACAGTTAGGAACACGACCGCGTAATGAAAGGAAGAAGTTGGATATACGACCACGTAATGAAAGGAAGAAGTTGGGTATATGACCATATAATGAAAGGAAGAAGTTGGGTACATGACCGCGTACTGAAAGAAAGATTGGTGTAGTGAAAGAAAGGTTGGGAACATGACCATGTAGCGAAGGAAAGCAGTTGGGAACACGACCGTGTAGTGAAAGAAAACAGTTAGGAATACGACTGTATAATGAAAGAAAAGAAAGATTGGGAACTGGTCTCCTCTTTATTTTTACATATGCGTTAGACTCTGACTGAAGCTGGTTCTTGGCAAGCTGCAGCACACAAAGATGCTAATGGTCTAGGACTGCGATTTGTTTTAATTTAAAAAATCCTAGCATTTGCTGATTTAAAGGAAATCACAGCCCTTGACTGCGAGTATCTTTACTGAACAAACCTTTTACCAAGGCTTTGTGAGCCGCAAAGGAGGACATTTTTTTTGTAAGTATTTCGAATTTATTTGGCTTGCACAATAATGAAATTTTATTTTCATTTATTCTATATTTTCTTTCAACTTGATTGTAATCTATGTTTCTTTTTTATAAACTTGCGTAAGACGGATGTCGACAACGTTATTTGATTTCTTGCTCTAGTGGAAAAACATCGGTAACAGAAGCTGAATGCTTCTGGAGACTTCGGTTTTCACACATAACATTCACCAGATGTTAACTTTGCTTGAAGGCGTTTGAAGTGACTATATCACAGAGATAAGTTGCCAGAGTGTATTGATTATTAGCGTCAGTAGCGTCAGATTGTTCTTGTGTTGGTGATGGTTTAGATTGAAGCAAGTTTAAAAGAATTACCAAGTTCTCTCACAACGTCTGCATACTTTTTGCTATAGATAATAAAAAGTTTTCAAATTCTTGTTTGCAAATAGCGTTAGTATTTGCACTGACAACATTGACTAAATTAGACAAGAATTGTGTCAGTGCAGATGTGCTAGATAGCAACATTACTGTCAAAGTGTTAGGTATGCCTAGAATATGTACCATATAATCAAGAATTTCTCTGGATGAGGTCGGTGTGAAGCTTCTATTATCTTCTTTACTGCTATTATCACTATCGTTATTATCATTGCTATCGCCACAATCATTATCATCATCATTATTATTACCATCATCATAATTGTCATTGTCATTATTATTCGTTATGATGCTTTCTGAACTTGCTGATATTGCTGATTGGTTGATGTATAAGTTGCAACGAATGTTTCGTGTTTCTTATCGAGTTGCAAAGACCATCCGAGATAAATGTGTATGTTGTTCTTGTTTACGAAGCTCATCAATATAGAAAACTGCAGCACGGAGATGTTTACACATGATTCCATTCTGGAAAAAGTCAAGACATTGATAACGAATATCTGCCAGCTGTCTATGTATACAGGTGACATAAATAAGCTCTGGTGTGGCCTCCAACTCAACTCGAACATAAAGTTTTCCGGTTTCTTTCTCTAGTTCATAATCGATCACTTTCTTCATTTGAAGCAATCTTTTTGCAGATTCATCACAATTTGGACTTGAAGCAAAGTAAGCTACCTGAGGAAATTCCTGCATAAGAATTTTATGAATTGATGGATCCATTATGTTGAATTCATTACGTCGTTCCGCTTTCTCTTTTTCAAGATCGATGGCAAGATTTTGTAGTGCAAAAATATTAGGTATTATTTCAGATACGAAGGTGACATAAAGTACATCGGCCCTGAGAAGACGACCCTTTCTTTGAAATCGTTTCAATTGATTGTTCTTTAAATACTTATTAATTCTTTCGAGGTGGTTATTCGTGGTAGGTAGTTTTTCGAGAGGAATTTTAAGAACATTTGCAGCTCTCTTGCGTCCATTAAGACACCAACTATATAGAAGACTGCCAGCCCACTACTTTTCCAGGTAGGTGAGAAACTTTATTCCACCATTCAAAACATTATGTATGCTTTCTGAAATATTCATCTCGCTGACAAGATTTTCTAATAATTCTCTTCTCTCTATAATAAACTTGTGCATAATATCTTCATCACCATCCATTAACCAAGCTTCCTTCAATACACTTCGTAGGTATAGTCTCAAAGTATTTTGTTGCAAAACTGTATTATTACCACCACCTCGACCTAATTGTTTGTTAATCTCGTTCTTCCAACATTAGCTAATATGAAAGTAACAAAGAAGTAGAATGATTCCTGGCCACACTTTCGACAATGATCCCCATTCCTTAACATCAGTATCGGTCATTGCAATGAGAGAAGTAAACGTAGTTAAATTGACATTCAAATTTACTGCAAGTTGATTTTGGTTATAGATAATGCTAATTTTATCACGAAAGATGGAAAAAAGTTGTTCCAGGATCTTACTGTCATACCCAGATGATGTTAATCGATTATGTGAAGGTGGCGTGAAAAGAATGAAGATAATTGGAATTCCTTTGCTGTTTTCATCAATGACCATAATAATGAATAGAAGAAGTTTATGTTTGCTAATTCCATAGGTTCTATCGATGAGGATAAGGTTCTGATGTCCATATTTCCACGTGTATTCCTGTTATTCCGAAGTGCAAATGATGATCTCCAGATGGTCAGTGTCTTTGGTATGGGGCTGGTAATGTAAATATCCTTTCTTGATTTCTGATTGATTGGTATCTGGCCCAAGAATTTGTTCTAAATTTTTTGTGGCATCATTACTAATATTAATATTCCAGTTTTTTCGGAGCATTTGTTTTTTAATGTTGGCAATGTCCATTACCATGAGTAGTATTCTGGAATTTCCAATCAAAGTACGTTTTCCAAATATGTTCCGTACAATTTTTGCATTTTGCGCAAGAATATTTGCAGTACTGACATTTAAAGTTAATAGATTTTCGGCATTTTTCCTCACATATGGTAAAAGTCGATATGGTGAGTCGTGTTGTGATTGGGAGGCTTTACATTGCTCTGAATGTTCTAGGTATTCTGTAATGGCATGAATTTCATTAGCTCGGAGAGAAATTATAACAAAGGTGAGGCATCCAATGTAGGGGTAATGTGCAGCTGAGACTTGAGAATTGGATTTGATGACTCTTTCTTGATAACTTCCACATATACATTGTTTAATTATTGTTGTTGAATTTGATTGTCAGATTGACCACTTGTTTCGCATATTATCCGAGTCAATATCGAGTTCATTTTCATAGAGAAATTGTCTACGGTGTTTGATATGGCTTTCAATAGATGGATCCCATTTTATTTTAATTACACCAGGTGCATTATTATTTAGCAAGTTAGTAAGTTTAATTCAATCTTCTTCTTTTAATAAAAGATGGGAATTTAGTTTAATATCTTTGCGTGGATTGTAAGTGTCTCTCTTTTTATTTGAATTGGAAATTTTAAATTTTATTAACGACATTATTACATGAGAAAAAATTTACGCGTTTCTTAAGTCTAAATTCGGCAATGAATTACATGTATGTTGTCGACGTTTCACAATATCGCCCATTGCCGGTCGACCGCTACGAAATGTTTATGCCGCATCATTTATCCAAATTAGGAATCAATCTGTGGCTTGTGGCTTATATCAGGGGTAAAACTCATATTAGGAAATTTGAAATTTGGTTCGAGAAAAGTGGTTATATAATCTACATTGTAAGATCCGATTATGGATCGATTATACAAATTTAGCAATTCAATGTCGTAAATGATTATTACATGTATTAAATTATCGTTATATAATTAAAGATCACATGAATTTCAGCTTCAATTATTAACAAAAATTTTATGCTTATATTTTTGTAAAATATCTTTCGCTTAAGATTTAAATTGCCGAATGAAAAGAAATAATGCATTGGTCTGTATTCTTGCTGTTAATTTCGTCGAACGAATGAAGGCATGGGAAACTTCTATCTAGCGTTATAGTTATGCCAATAACTCGTCAATCGAGTTTCATCTTGGTATTATTTGAACATATATGATCGTATTGACATTGTTAACGTGAACCAAATTTTGTATGTTTTATCGCTAACACTCGCCATGCTTTATCTGCACACAAGGCAACTAAGACACTTGGATACTTTTCGTCGTCACCGGCTTAGGCAAGGAAAGATTACCGCAAAGAAATCTCCGTCTATAACATCTCTTCTCTCTTTTCCGAGCTAACTTTTCAAAATGTTGATACACCACCATCACCTCTATTATCAAGTAAGGTTACCTTACGTCCAGGTCTCTAGTGCAAAGCAATAAAATGATCTCGAGCGACAAAAACTTCTCACAAAATTCCCGACATACGAGCTTATTAGCGATATCGGCTCCGGCATCAACTTCAAACTCCCAGGACTTAAGTCCTTACTGGAATGATCAAATGTCTCAAAGATTGTCATTGTTCACTGTCTCTGTCGCTTCGCCTTCAATCTCTTACACGTATTATCCCTCAATTCTACAAAACTCATGGTTCTCTTGATATACTTTCCATCAAAACCGTCTTCATCTGCCATATGCTAAGGAAGAAGAGCTGCCCACCATTGACAAGAGCATCGATACAGGCAAGAAATGCAAGAAAAAAGTGACAGCAGCTCATCGCAAACAGGAGATACTCTCAATCGCACGCGATTAATCAAAATGTATCCGGATCACTTTAAAAGATGCGGGGCTTAACTAGATTTGTTTATAATACTGTTGTCCGCTGGAATCGAGGCCGCTGTTTTCATACTAAAGACTGATGTAACGAATTTGGATTAAGCCTCAATCCTTTAAAGACAAACTTGAACTTTTTGCAGATGTTCGAGTTTGTAAAGTCTCAGATAGATAGGAAGATATAAAACTCCAAGGCTGCAGTATGAGAGGCGAACGCAAGTTCTTACGAGCTATTGTTCGTCTTGATATGTTATTTCGGGACACATATGGAATTGCACCAAGAGAGTCATTAATTGCCAGAGACGAAACCATTAAGTATAATACTCTTTCATTTCGACCTCAAAAAGTACGTCATATACTTACCATTCGTGTACAAAATTTCGAAGCTTATCTGGAAACTTTCTGATGCCTCATATTACAAATTACATCAGTATATACTTTACAGGTAGAATTATTTATTTGAAAGCTAATTTTTTATTTTGATTTTTATGTATAAGGATAAAGATATGCTCTCTTTTACACTTTGAAAAGGAACTCGAAAATAATAAACGGCCCATCCTCACAAAATGATTTGTGATGGCAAATTTACTTATTCACACTTAACAAATAAATGGGCATACAGTATTCCTGATATATGAGATACAAAGACAAGTCAAGCAATAGTTCTATCAATGCAGTCTTTATTTACACTGGAATTTGGACAGTTTTTTACATGGGGTGCTCAGCAACTAAAGGTGTGGGTAATATTGAATTCAAAAATCAATTGGTAGGCAAATTAACAATGCTATTTTTCGAATGCGATGCAAACTTTTACGTCTGCAAATTGAAATCATCAAAAATTAATTGCATTTTTTACTCGTGAATTTACTGTAAAAGTCCGAAAATAAAGCTTATCTTCCAATTTTTGGATGCCATTTGTTAAGTGAAATATATATTTAACCTATATAAAATTCGAAATCCCGAAATAACACCATTCTGAACGTTCATAAGTCCCGAATGATCGAAATCCCGCATGGACGGCATCCCGAAAAGTTCAAAATCCCGAATGAACAGCATCCCGAATGATCGAAATTCCATAATACAAAACCTCCCATCCTAAAATTATTACAATTTCGATTTTTCGGGTTTATGAATGTTCGGGATTTCGTTATAAAATGAACCCGAAAATAAGCTATCCTTTATTTTAAGCTTAAATCATGCAAAAAGAGATAGCTTGTTTTGGATTTTACGGTATTATTCCTCCTTTTGAGATATCAATGCGGTGAATCATAAGACACGAAAAACTGTTTGAAAAATTCTTTTATTGGACACATTACCGCTTGCGCCAATACAGAAGAATTGAGAGTTTATATTATCATTTAAAACCGTCCAAGACTTGTAGCTGGCGTGATAATATTCAAATAATAGAGGTTTAAAGTGTCTATATTGTCGAACTTGTGGGACAGAGATGAAAATGGTGTGCTCGAGGGAGGGGAAATAATAGTCTATTACAATCGAGCTAACCCATGTTTGCATGATATTTTGCATATCACAAGACCAAAGATCACTTGACTTTGACTAAATCAGAGAAACAAACACGCGTGCTTAAAACCCCAACATTGCACACATGTATGTATTACTTTTTTTCTGTGAACTTTGTTTTTTTTCTATGTACAAAAAGTACTGTTTTCGTACATATACCAAATCCTTTTAGGTTATCTATTATCAAACTAGATTTGTACTGTCGCTGCAGGTAGTACCGGTACTGCATCGAGCAAGACTGATTATTGCAGTAACTGGTTTCTTAGGAGTAAAATTCAATTAGGAAATCGAGTACATTTATCGCGAGGGGAGTTAATACGTGGCCATTTGCCGCCGCTTTACTATGTTCGTTGGATGATATTAAAATCATAGATTTTTGTACTTTTGATAATATGATTGATTGGTTGTTTCATTGTCAGGATCATGATGAAATGAGCACATCTATGGGAAAATTTTCGTTATTTATATAACCTTAATTATACGATATAAGGATCATTTGTTCTACAAAAAAGTTTCTTTCGATGAGATTATATTTTTCTACAACACAAAAACCACATCTATCTATCACCATTCTTATCTGTTACGTCCGATATCTACCATAAAAATACACCGCCGACAATTGCACATACACCAATACCAAAATTTTGTTTGTTGCTTAGCACACTAATTCATAGAGAGATACAAGTTTACCACAAATGCGCCTTTTTCTTTGCCTTTATTGTTATTCATCAAAAATAGCCTGGGGTGTTATGTTGACAATGGTGATTGATGAGTGAAAATAGTTATTGTTATGATTCATTTGGTCACTATCAAGTCATTCACAGTTTTCGTGAGAATAAACACTGGTTTGTTTATAGCGCGATAGTGAGAAGGCTTTGCTTTTTATGCACAAACGATCATTTGACGGGTAATAACACATTAATTTCGTTTAAAGTACACCGATCGGTGGGGTGTGTTGCGATTACGCACACGTACATATTTTATTCTGAAATGATGAAAGTTCTGCCATCTAGACAAAAATGTGTAGAATAATACTAACCTAACTATAATCTACATACGTATATCGATATTAATCTTTTCTACGAAACGAATTAAGGAAAACGAGGGAACGAATTTTTTAGGTAAAAAATTTACAAAATATGAAAGACGATGAGTTTGTCGTCATCGAAGATAATTATTAAGATGTCTTTAAAAAATATCATAGCTAATGAAAATAAGATTAATGTAAATGTATATTATAATAAATGCGATTATATATATGAAAAATCACGAATTTCTAAGTAAAACTATAAACAAGAGAGATAAAAAAGTAAAAATTGTCCAAGTACGAGTAAAAAAAAAGCGCTTTTTTTTGTTTCCAACAATGGCGACCGTCAGCGACGTACAATTCTAATTCGACTACTACACGACTCGACTTGGAAATAAGCGGCACGGTCAATGAAGGGGATTTATGCTAAACCATTCAATAAAGCAGCAGCGCTAGCCAACACCACACCGAAAACGCCTGCCGAATTATTAGCATCTCCTATCAGTTGAAATGGTTCTGTTGTTGTTGTCGTCGTCGTTAGAGCATTGTCATATTGCAAGTAATTTGGTGTGGTGGTTGTTGTTACAGGTGATGGCCCAGCAGCAATACTTGCCCTCATGAACACTGAAATTACTGCCAAGTATAATAAAGCTTTTACACTTTGTTGAGGTTTTTGTAGCTCATATTGTTGCTGTTGAGCTTGTAACTGTGCTGCTGTTGTTGTTGTTGTTGTTGTTGTCATTATTGCTGTTTTGTTTAGGAGGAAATTTGAGAAAAAAGTTTTTTTTTTTGCAAGAGTTACTACTGTTATTTCGTTGAGTTTGTGCGAGTTTTAGTGGTTGCTTTTGTATCAGTTGGTTTTTTTTGTAAGTGAGATTCTTTTTACAATTATTATCACTATTTAATTACTATTAATTTTTAGAAGCAAAAAAAAATATTGGCGGGTTATTTTTATACAAACAAATAAGAGTTGAGACGAAAAAGAAGAGAAAGGGTTTACTCTTTTTCGTCGTTTCGTGCAAGAAAGGAGGTATAAATATGAGAAACACAAATAATATTTACAATAAATAAATTAATAGAATAATGTGTGCGTATATCCCTACCGCTACTACGTATTTAATTATTGTTGTTTCGGTATATCCAAATGGATGCACAGTAAATTAAAATAGAAAGGAGAGGCGCAATTGCGACGACGGAGTTCATGCACAAAGTAACACGTTAGACAAACAATGAGGGAGTGAGTATTAGTTGTAATTTCCTTGTGTAAATGCAGTTTCATGCATAAATGCGTGAATTTTTCTCGTTATCGGTATATAACGATAGCAGAATATATTGATTTATTTAACCGTAGGATTTTTGCACATCAATGTGTAATACGGTGGGGAATGAGTATTATTCAGTTATTTCATTGTCTTTGGTTAAGGTCGATACTAATTTTTTTATTATCGTTATTATTATCTCAATGAAAAGAGAATAGCTTTTTCTTGATTCTACAAAAAAAGGCTCAAAGAATTGTAATTGGTGACACATCATTTTCGGAATTACAAATTGCGGAAAGAAGGTTCTAGATAGCTGTGACAAACAGTATTGCTCATTGTTTTCGACAATCGTAGTTTAATGGCGCAGAACTGTGTAGCGTGTGTCATAACTCGTAAAAAATAAGTGATTTTGATGATTTTCGCATAATGATACGAGTTTTATTTATAGTTATCGTTATATATAATAAAACGGCGGCGTCTCCTTTTGCAAATAAACATATGGTCACGTAAAAGGAGAATTTATAATTTTTGTAAAATTTTTTCCTTTAAAATCATTATAATCAATTTGCATAAAACCACACTTCCGAATTAAAATTAAAGAAAGAAAAACATGTCATAATTAATTATAAAACTTTCTATAATTAATAAATTACAATGATCCTTTTTGTATTATGTTTAACAGGTAGTAGAGAAGGCGGGAAAAAAAATATCAAGTTATTGATACGATAGAAATATAGAGAACGTCTTTATAAATATTCAACATGATACTAGTATTCACGTTAAATATTGAAAATTAAATGATTATTTATTATAAAAATACGCCGGTGTAAAGTAAAAAACACAATTGATTTATTAATCTTTGACAGCTTAATTAACGGTAAGGAAAGTTTCGCACACATTAATTATCTCTAATGGCTTTGTTAATTCATAAAACTTTCCTAAAAATTCTTTGCATAACCTCCCCCTAAGTTTCTTGTGCAATATTCCCAAGCATGCAAATTAACTTTCAAAATAAATACAAATTTATGATTTATTATTATGCTTCATTGCAAACGCATACTTATTTGAAACAATACGCATCGGTATCGGTATTTCATTTGTATCACTTAAATAATGAAGAATCAAATATGTATGTACAATGCTACAACAAATCTTTTCAAGCTACGTGTACCTATTATGTTTGAAATCGATAAAAGGGGGTTATAAGGAAAAAACATTCGAGCGAAATTTGGAATCAACAGAGGAAGGACAATGTGTAATCTTTAGTGTACATTTGAGAAAGACTAGAGAATAATGAAGAAAAAGACTAGGCTTTTTTCCACTTCTTAATTCTTTTAGGTTAGTGATCAATATTATATCGAGGTGATATCATTTATCAACGCGCGCGACTACGTATTCGTAGTTTAGTACCAAGTCGATCACAAAAGAAACGGCGTCATTTGATAATTTTAAATTTTTTACATGTGCATTTTTAAAGAAGTTTTTTCTCTGGTACTTTTTTTTATCACAGTATTAACGCTAGAGATTGCTGAAAATAAATACATGTACCGTGGGCCAAATGCACATGTTTTAAGATACATGTACATGTACATGTACATCATGCAAGAGGGATTCAACTATTTGCTGGTTATTGTTAACAACAGAGGCAGTTCCATTTTATCAATTTATATAATATAATAATTGATGAGATTTTTAGCAACGGTAAGTGCCATTAAAATGATTATTCTTACAATCAGATTCTCAGGCTTTTTCTTGACATAAGGTAAAAAAGTGACATTGTGACGAAGATATTATATCATATTGATCTTTTTAACCTACTTCTAATTAGTAAACGTGTGTAAATATATCTTTCCACATATTTATTTTTCATTTGTAAAGTTTAATAATCTGCTCTTACAAATACGAGAACAATTTAACTTTCTTGTTTTAGCAAGTTTTGTTTCGTTTCTACTACAATATTGAATTTCTAGACAAGGGACGACCGACATTTACGCCAGATTTATCGGATTATGAAATCGCAGAAACTCGCTACATATATTATCATTATCGTTATCGCACTTGAAAAGGGATTTATTAATTTTTATGTGAAACTCGAAACTGTCGTCGTCGTTACACGATTATGATGACGAAAAATTTGACCTCTTAAACAAATTTACTTCATATTTGTTTCGATAATTTTCTAAATGTCATATTTTAATTTGAACTTACAAAGCGCAGTAAACTTAAAGGCGCTACAATCTGACCACTATTTCGCTTTATACAATCAATACAAACCAACCTCCCGCACTAATGACGCTTCATGTAATTCATATCAAAGGTAATTTTTTGCTAAAGTTTGCGATTTATTTTTGATTATTTTTAATTTGGTTCTAGCATTTTCGGTTGTTATGTTTTATATTTTAAATTCATATCTTTGGCTTTTAGATTATGCATGATATTGTATTCAATTGTTCTTGCTTTCGCATAAGTTGATTTGTCATTTTCCGCAAGAATTAGACAACGAAATAAAAAGAAAGTTGTTACTTTACCGTTACATCTATGGAAAATTTGTAATTCACGTTACGTGCAACGGTAGCAATAAATTAAATCGTTACCTCTGAAAAGTTCCAAGATGAAAAAAATGATTAAAACCTCAATCTTTCAATTCATACCATATGAGATACAACAAAAAAAATTCAATTGCATATTATTTAATTGTAACTTTTGGGGGACCCTCACAATTCCTATGTTTCGGAATTCAAGAGGCAAGAATATAATAGATGTCTACAAGAAAATCCTCACGCAAATAGTATCATTTAGCCAAAAGATATGCGACCTCCTACATTAATTACGCAACCTTCTTGCGCCATTACGAACCTCAATTAGGGATAGATGCAGCAGAAAGTGGTTATGCCATTATGAACCACAATTAGCGACATACATTGCAGAAATGGATTTTACTAGCAATGTAAATCTATTTAAAAAACGAAAAATATTAGAACTCGCTATGGCAACTTTTCCTCAATGAAGCGAAAATTATTTACGGTAGTGTTCAAACTCCCGACAATCTCTACAGTTTATAAGCCCGACAAACGAAAGCCCAGAAGTACGGCATCTCGAAAGATTGAAATCCCGAATTAGCGAAATCTCGAATTAGCGAAATTCCGAACGAGCGACATCCCGAATGCACGAAATCCCGAAATCGTGGTCCCTGTTGAATATATGTCATGAATAAATGTGATCAAAACATAACAAATGTTTATTCTTGTATAATTTATCGAATCGTATCAAATTTGAATAATATAATATAAATTGTGATAATTTTGATATTCCATGCTATAATTTCAGATTTCGTGCATTCGGGATGCTGTTCTTTTGAAATTCGTTGATTCGAGAGGTGGATTTCGTTTGTCGCAATTGTGTTTGTCGATATTTATAATATTACCCTTGCAAGTATTCCCAAAAATTTGGTATTTAAAATATCTAAGAGAATTACGACTCGATGGAATTACAGTCGAAGATGATTTTTCATAGTTTTTTGATAATTTACTAGCTTATGTCATTCTATCCGTGGAATAACCATTAAAGATGAACACGCATCATTCCCACCTTCTCAAAGGTTATTAGTTGTCCATACGAATCATGACGAGATATCCAGGTTGAGCTCATCAACCAAGTTATTGAGACCAGCGGTGATAATCTTAAATTTCTTTATATCCATCAGAAAATATCCAAAAAAATATTGCGATCTCGAGACATCTTCGAGGCCTTGAGATGATGAATATGTATGTAGGCCCATGCTATCCTTTTACTTAAATCTTGTAATAATCTTGTTCATATAGTCATCCCCCAATTGAAATATCTGGTGTAGGTTATTCTGAGTATAATGAATATCCGGAAGAATTGCAGACGAGTTTGGTGTAATATTGTCGCCTTCGAATATTGGTAAGTATCTATTTCTTGTCATTGATGATAAGGTACATTCACACTTCTCTAAATGCACATTATTGAGCTAGTCCCACGATGGCTTATGCACACCCTTTAGATGCATGTGCACGGGTGTAAGGGAAAATTTCTATAAAATCACTAACATCTAAACGCATTCAATCACGTGATTATAATAATTTTGACCAGAATTATCCTTCAAAATTTTACATGTCATAAAAAATTCATTAATAAATATTTTTATTTTGTTACTTTTTTTAAATATTCAATTTTTTATTACAATATTAAGAATTAATAAATACAGTACTTATCATAAATAATGAGAATCAAATATTATATAAACCATACATAGAAAACTTCTGATTGCATTTAGCTGGTGCAATCAAAATTTGATGGTGATTTGTTTATTAATGAATCTAAAAAACAAGCTTTAAAAAGAAAGTAAAATATACTTAATTTCTCTCACTATTTTGTTATTAAATGGAAAAAATTTTGCTTACTAACTGATAAAGAATCATAAGTGAGCTTTGGGATTATAGTATTTGAAATACTCAAACTTTAGCATAACTAAGCAATATTTCTTTCTATTATATATAAATATATCAAACAACTAAAAAAATGATAATATTAATCTCATTTTCTGTTCTGGACATCCAAGAATTTTAACTTTCCAAAATAGATATGTATTAGAAAAAATAATTCAAAATGATCAATATCTTATATGCAAAGAAATTGCAAATTGAGTTCTAGAATAAAAATATCAACATGAATAGTAAATTATGACTTAATAAATTTGAATATCATTCAGATCATTCCAAAACTATATCTTTACTTATAGAAAAATAACATAAATATTAAGTAGAATAAACTATTACTCATGTCAAACAAAACTGGAAAACTATTATATTTTCAGATAAATCCACTTTTCAGATATTCTAAAATATCATATAAAGCTAAAATAGATATTTCACAAAAGAAAGTTCCAAAATATTCTGTAAAAGTTTATGTATAGGATACATTCTTAGTATGTGAAATGATTAGCTTTCATATATTTACTCAGAATATGAATGATTCACTTTATTATGAGATTTTAACTAATTATCTTTTTAAAAATATATCTAGAATTATATCAAACTATTAGATCTTTCAATAAAATAATAATTCAAAGCATATAATTAAAGAAATATCTAATCTTTTTCATTATCAAGTTTCAAAAATTCTTGACTGATTCTTCTATAATTCTAATCTGAATCTAATAGAGAATCTGTAAGCTATTATAAAAAAGAAAGTTGAAAAATAAGTTAATAAAATAATTAGAAAAGAAAAAATAACTAGTATTGAATATTAGCATGATTTGATTAAAGAAAAATAGGAGAATATCTCTATAGATCTGTATCTTAATTTAGTAAATA